CTTAATCTCTGAGACCCAAGCTGCATGTGTGTAAAATGAGAGGCCTGAGCTGCTTGATCGCTCAGACTCTGCCACCGTTACAATGTTGTGACTCTTGGCTCTTGCTTTTAGCTATTCACAAGGCAAGGATACGTAGCTACCCTTTGTGGGAAGAAATGGGGAGAAGAAAAGAATTTGGAGCACCTTCTGAGGAAATAATTACTAAGAGTGATCAAATTTTATCCATTCTAGGATCTGCTCTGGAACCACGCGGACCTTCTGGCTTCAGCCCTGAAACCCTGAAACCGCTTAATCCCCTGGTTCTGTTTTCTCATTGGTTCACTCGAGTCAAAGATACCACCTCACACAGGATGTTGGGAGGGTCAGGAGAGGAAACGAATCTAAATGCTTGGTTTACAACCTGCATGCTGGGTCCTTTCCCTTTCTTGTCTCTTCCAAGCCGGAAGCAGCAAAGCGAAAGGGAATAAGCAAACTCTCTACTGTCCTCTGGAGCCTGGGAGCAGCTTCCTCTCACAATCTAAATAGCTTGCTGAGCCCTGGGAGCAGCTGCCCCTCCTTGTCCAGTCCCCTTGCACTGCGCCGAGTCTGTCTCATGCAAATGCTCACAGGGAGATGGAGTGGCCAGTGTGTGCCCCTGGGCTTGTCCTGTGGAGAATGACCCTCATATCCATCTCCACTGGAAATGTCTTATCTGTAGAGAAACAATGTGTAGACCCAGTCGTTGCCCTGTCTTTCTTGGTAAGGGAATGGCTGGTTATGGTCCTGGTTTGTAAAATTCTTGCAGTAAAGAGACTCCAGCCTTTGTATTACTCTGGCACATATGATGACTTTCCCAAAGAACAAATGTCCAGTATCATTCGGCTAGAACTCCATCACCACCTGCATTCCTTTCACCTTCGGCTTCATGTCTGCCCTCCGAGTGTTCCTGAACTGGACGTGTTGTCTACTCTACCTTTTCTTCTTGGCCTCTCTGAGTCACCTCTGTAGCTCGAAGAAATTGAATTTACATCTTAAACCTCCAGCGTGACTCGAGCGCTCTGCTTGCCTAAGCTCGCAGCCGGAGCAGGTTTCCAGTGGGGACTCCCAGGAAGTCCTTGAATAACACGTTTTCCTGAATCGTTTCTACCCAGGGGTTTTGAAAACACGTGCTTTTATAGCAAACTCCCTTCTAATTAATTGTTTAAAGCCCCTGTATCTCTAGAGGTGGAACGGGCAATTTTTACCTCATTACCTAGCAAAAGCTCTATTTCCATAATTAATTATGCTCACTATATATATAGTACAAATAAGAGTTGCAACTCCAAAATCCAAAATATTTCACTTCTGAACTAATTCTGTAAAAGTTTGGCCACCCCCTCCAAAATGATTGTCTATTTAAATTTGAAAACCATTTCTACTCTGTCAGTGATTTAGATCCTTTAAAAAGCTCTTTTGTTTCTTCCTAGGGGAGAACATGTGGTTTAAGAGGGGAATTTGTAATTTTACCACACTTTTTATCTTAGCTAGCTATCCATCACCAGTCACACCTTCAGTTTCTTTAGATCCAAGGTTTCCATTTGAATACAATTGCAAAACCAAAATACCAAAAAAACACACAAAACAAAAAACTATAAGGGCATAAGCATTTTACAGAACTATACGGGAAGTGCAAGGAGACCTGAGTGGAACTCAGTGATTTTCGTTACCATTTTGATTACATGAGTCTATGAGTTCATATGAATCAAAGTAAAAATGGAACTCAGCAGGCATGACGAAATCAATGAAAACCGCTGAAACGGTTGGGCAGAGCCCACAAAAATGGTTTCATTCTCTAAGACTTGGGGATAGAACAGGGACTTAATTCAAGAGACAGCTTCGCAGGGCTGTCATCGCTCAGTTCCTCAAGTAGAGAGATATTTTCCAATAACGGATTGAGTTTTTTAAACTGTAGCTTTGCACCGACTTCAGTAAATGACACAAGGTAAGTTAATCTCTATAAACAACAGGATAAATGCACTGTACCACTTTTTAAAGTATAAAAATTGGAATTTAAAGCCCCCACCATTCATGCTATATTGGTAACTGTGGGTAGGTGGAGCCAGTGGTGGGATAAGACCCAAATGACTTATTTTTAAAATATTTAAATTTCATCAGCAATCGACTAAGGGAAGAGAATGGCTTCAGGGAAAGAACCCTGACCTTGCGCAGAGAAAGCTGTTTATATTCTCTGCTCCATCTTTCCTCCTGGAGCCTCCCAGAGGGTGTAAGCCTGCACAGAAATTTGTTGTGTAAATGACATTTTAAAAGAAATACTGTGTTCATTTGTAAACCAGAAAGGCTGATATTTACCTTACCTGCCTCATGAGGGGCGGTAAGTGTCTAAGGAAATCATGCATGTGTAAAACCTGGAAGATGCTATGACGTGGAGCACTTTAGCATCAACGTGTCCGTGCTAGAACATTCTTAAAGGGAAGCTGGGCATCAGAACTGCTGACTGCTGGCTGGCAATTCAGGCATGAGGTATAGCATTCTCACTTGCCTGTGAAAAAGAAAGATTTCTCCCTCTGTCTCTCAGACACAAAAGTATTTCAAGTAATTGAAATTAAATACTAACTGTGCTTTTGTTTTCATGAAGTACCAGGTAAAACATGGTTTAAAAGTGTCTTGCTGAAGCTGCAGCACTAGAAGTGTCCTGAGACCACGCAGTGTCAATGAATAAGATGGCTCTTTGTTTTACCAACGGGTCCGAAAAATGTCTGTAAGAACAAAGGCCTTGGAAAAGAAATGCAAATGAACATTGACCACCATGCTTTTCCTATTTTCTCTTTTTAAGTATAAAGCTGCCTGAAATATACTGCCTATCACTCCTTTCTTGAGCATCAGTTGCAATAGTTTTATATCACAAAATCTAATATTAAATTATAAAGCATTTTGTGTTTTCCAATATTTTTTCATGTGCATTTCTCAAAACAAAGTTTGAACCTCTTTTTTCTTATTCCCCAGTGTACCTAGTAAAGTGCCAGACAAATAACATACACATAATAAATTCTTCCTGAGGACTGATGTATTGATTATGAGAAAACAAGCTACTATTAGCCATAAATGGTTAATACAGTCCCACATAACTGGAACCTCCTCTTTAAGATTGGTAGTAAAAGTTTGCAGAAGTGGGATTTGTGTGTGTGTGTGTGCGTGTGTGAGGAAGATTGGCCCTGAGCTAACATCTGTTGCCAATCTTTCTCTTTTTACTTGAAGAAGATTGCCACTGAGCTAACATCTGTGCCATCTTCCTCTATTTTATGTGGGATGCCACCACAGCACGGCTTGAGGACCAGTGCTAGGTCCACACCTGGAATCCGAAGCTGTGAACCCCGGGCTGCGGAAGCGGAGAATGCAAACTTAACAGAAGTGGCATTTTTTAATTACTGAATGGGAACCTTTTCTCTAATTCAAAGCTAACTTCGAAATTAAAATTGATAAGTGAGAAATATTTTACCTTTATATATTAATGAGTAATTATGCCATAATAAAACTGATTTTGATTAGTCAACACAAAAGAACCTGCCCATTTTGAGAGTGACATTATAGTCCATCTCTCAAAAAACTTGTTTAAAAATGCATATTTATTATTATTTTATGTCGCTATCTTTTTCTCAAGCAGTTGAAACCAACATTCTTCTTGTACTGTTCTTCTAAGCCTGACTAAACAAATGAAGTATTATTGTTTAATAAATGCATCATAAAGACCTTTTGAAAAGTCTCAGTTTTAAAGGTAGTATTTTCATTTTCTCTGTGTAAGAAGAAGAAAATCAGTACAGACTCCATCTCTCTTTTGTATCAGGAACATTGCATTGCTTAACTGCAGATGGCCCCGATTTACAAAGGAATAAACAGTTAAGCATGCATTGTTACAGTCCTTAGGACACCTCTTGGAGTGGATGCAATAATTTATTCCATCGAGCAGGTCTAATTCTCCCTTGATTTATGGAAGTGGTAATAATATTCCATCTCACGGAATGCTTTGCTTGGAGGAATCCTGATCCAGGCACTAAAATCTTTACGGCCTCCCCAGGAGGCGTTGGGACGCAGGTGGTATCCTCATTACTGCAGCCGAGAAAATGGAAGGGTTTGCCTGAGGTCTCCTGGCAAGTCAGTTATTCAGGGAATAGAATTTAGGTCTCCTGATGCCTAGTACACGGTCACAAAAGCAGAGAACTCCCAGAGGAGTCACCCAAATCATGTGTGCAAAGAAGAGGGGAAATGACACCCAGGATGCTCGTTGCAGAAGCCCCGTAGAACCTGTCGCGGTTCCCCTCTGACGGCACATGAAGCACACTGAAGGGTACCAAACAACATAAAACCCTAACGGTGCCCTTAATTAGGTGGGATCATCACTCTAATCCCTGACCTCCCACGGTCCAAGCGAGGAGCCCCGAATTCCTCTCTGTGGTGCCAAATCCTGAAAGCAAGACGTGCTTACAGAAGCAATCTTTGACTTACAAGGGACCATCAAGCTCTGATGATGATGAAATTTGATAGCACTAATGTCAAACTTTATATGGCCATAATCCAAGTTTACAATGATACGTTAAGCCACAATGCTACTATTTATATCACCATAAACTGAGTTTATGGTGATATAAATAGCCACGCTAATGGCATTAACAGCAGCACTCAGTGGTCTCACAGCTGTCGAGTGCCACTTTTATGCTATTAGCCTGGCTATTTACATCACCGTCAATTTAGGTAGTCAAACTCGTAACATACGAATATACAAAGAAGATGGATATCCACATTTTATGTCCAAATCTAGGCTCCCGTACTGGAGACTGTGTGGCTGTCACTCTCCTCTATGTCTTAAGGTCTATCTAGCTCTTCATTTGGCTCTATCTGCATCCCATGATGTTTCTTTAGGAGTTACAGACGAGCAAGTCTGTTTTCTGCCATCTTCTGATTTTAGCTGGGAAACGCTATTTAAAACTGACATGGAAGTGCAAGCCACAGCTGCTGGGCAAACTTACTGTCTCCTTGGCAGCGCAGGGGACCCACGCTCAGTTTGGCTTCTGAACCTTGCCGGTCGGTATCTCCAACCACCACCTGGCTTACCGGCAGGTGATCCTTGTAGGTTAGGAAGCCAGCGTCCTTCCTCCTGAGTCACAGGGAAAGACAGAAAAGGATGAGGAGACTAAGTTAGAAACATGTCTTTTCTGATAATTAAGTTGTCTAATAATTGACCACATTCCAGTAAACATTCAGAAGTTCAGTAAGTAGAAGCACAGTTAAAGAGCTGTTTTTTCTCTTCCATCGGGTGGTCTCACAGCACATAGCCCAGAAACGACTGTGACATCTTTTCCTTCTGGAAAACAGAACTGACACCCTGATTTCCAGAGTCACAACCAATATGCCGCATACTATCTTAGGTTGAGGGTAGCTACCACGCTGCTTGACGAACACACACCAAGCGCGGAGCACGCATGCAGAGTTTGCTGTTGTCACAGAATCAGGTTCACCAAAGTCAACCCGATTTCTCGCACAATATACGAAACAAATCCTATTTAAAAAACCCCTTGTTTCCTTAATTGCTTTGTGGCAATTGCTTCAGCGGCTTTCTTCCCTGCTGTGCACCAGCTATAGAAGGGACACTTTTTGTTCCTTCATCTCTTCTTGTTTATTTTAACAACTGAATCAGTTTATGTGAAGTTTCCAACACAGAGCAGGTGCTCACTAGGTGTCTATTTCCATCTATAATGAGGGGCGGAGTTGCAGTTCAAGCCAATTTGGTTTCTCTCCTAGATTCTCCTAGATTCGTTCTCCTGCTTACTCTATACTTACTCTGTTTCGGGTCTTGTAACTCTACCCTGTACCACCCCAATAAAGGAAGAGGACAAGGCTAGCTCCACATTAGTGATTCTAGGACAGAGCACAGAAATCCAGGAGATGTTCTTGGGATGGACCCAAGGTGAGTTATGCAGCACAGATTTCACCTTGATAGGAAATCCTTGCCCCTTCACCCTCTTTTCACGCTGCTGTGGCTGAGGGATCCCCTCATTTGGGGATGGATGGGTGAGAGGCACAAATCGGTGTAAAGTCATTCTACAAATTCACCCTTCTGCATGATTTTTTTGCACTGTTCAGCCTGAATATTAATAACAATTTTGAAGTTGTACATACAATTGATCATAGAAAAGAAAACTGATTTTGGATGATAGAAGAATGAAAGAGAGTTCAATAATCAGGTTAAAGATTGGCCATTCACATCTCTTGGCAAATAGTACAGGGAATTGTGGGGAACCAACCTGGAGGCCTGCCTTTAAAATGCAATGCTGTTAGGAGCAGTTACTTCTCCTTCTGACCCTCCAGGATGTCAGTGAACATATACTCGCTCATGTGTCAGGACCCACAAACACCCAGGAAGGAATCACAGAATTCACCTTGTGGACCTCAAACAAGTGTATTTTATACTGCCTTAGTTATTTCATTGCTCTTGAGTTTCCAAAATAAATTATTTTTTTAAATCTGTTTATCGAATGAGAACTAAGATCATGCAGAAAAGCACAATGATTCTTCTTGACATTTTGGCTACTGATGCCCCAGCCTCAAATCTCAGCAGAATCTTTTGCAAACCCAAGTTCTTTGACTAGAACTTCTATCAGTCAAAGTCACGTCAGAGAGGGAACACAGGCTTTGCTATCAAACTTGATATTTAGGGTTTCTTAAAGGAGCAATAAAGGAAGGCAACCTTTAACAACATCCTGTAATTTGACGACCTACTAGGAAAGATGTGCAGTCCTCTGAAACTGCAGGCTGAGAGTCTCTGCCAGTTCTTCATCATTCAGAATTACACGACTCTAAGTCAGGGATCCGTAAACGAGGTCCCGAGAGCCATTCATCTTGTCTGTTCTCTCTGGCTCGTGAGCTTAGAATGATTTTTACATTTTAAATAATTGAAAACAAAATCAAAAGCAGAATAATATTTTGCGTCATGTAAAAATCACATGAAATTCAAAGTCAGTGTCCATAAATAAAGTTTTATTGAAATACAGCCCTTTTTTTTTTTTAACACATATTGTCTATGGTGCTTTCACAAGACAACAGCAGAGTTGAGTATTTGTGGCAGAGACCATAAGCCCTCAAAGCCTAAAATATTTACCATATGGCCCTTTTTAGAAAAAGTTTGCCAGCTCCTAGTCTAAATCATCAGTATCCATTTCTCCTTTAGGAATTTACTGAGCAAATATTGCACGAACTATCGCACAACTTGTCTCCATGGTCAAGTGCGGGGTTAGGGGAGGGGCATGAGAGCATCTCTGAGGCAGGTGAAAAAACCATGTAAAATGACATTTATTTAATCTAACAGTAAGAAATAACTTAAACTTGATTAATTATTAACTTTTTGGTTGACTGTGCACTTACGGCAGGCGGTCATGTGTCAGGATGCTCAACATCCTTGCCAACACTTGGTAATGTTGGTTTATTTATGGTGAGTGATACGCTACTTTATAATAAATCTTGTACCAATGTGAGAGCATTTTGAAAACAAATGTTTGGAAATATTCCAACCATTATGTAATCTGATTGCCAAGATTGTATGCACATCACCCTATAAGAATTTACACATCTATATACTTTCACAACCTGAAAATGCAATTTTAAATCCTTGTAATAATCTTATAACTGGAGAGTTCCAGTGGGTTTTTGACATTTTTTAGTACTGAAATGGGCCATTACTCAGTTATTTTATAAACATAACTTATTCACATCAGAGATGACAGAAATTTATAGGCCACATTTTATTAAAACCTTGTATTATTGGTCAATGAAACTGAAAAATTAACATCATGATTCATTAGGTGCACCTAATACTGTACTTTTATCTAGTTTGATATATGTATCTTGAGGTAACATTTTTCAATTATGACAGCCAATAAAGTCAAGTTATCAAATGAACAAAACAGAGAGGCATATCTTCAAATTAGTAATCCAAGATTATACAAAACAATCATATGTTTTCAATCACACTGCAGTTACTGAAAAAATTAGAGAAAAATGATTAATTTCTATTAATATTTTAGAGAAAATATTGTTAATTTCAACTTTTCATCATTTTAAAAGACTTTGTTTTATACTGAACATAAAATATTATTTCACTAGAAAATAGATCTTATTTTTATACTTATTTGTAAATGTGTGTTCAAAAAATTTTTTTAAATTTTTTTTAATTGCAGCAACATTGGATTGTAACCTTATATAGCTTTCAGATGTACATCATAATATATTTTGAATTCTGTGTAGATTACATCATGTTCACCACCCAAAAACTAATTATAGTTGGTCCCCTCACATGTGAGCCTCATCGCCCCTTTTGCCCTCCCCTCTTTCCCTCTGGTAACCACCTATCCATTCTCTGTTGCTATGTGTTTGTTTGTTGTTGTTTTTATCTTCTACTTATGAGAGAGATCATATGGTATTTGGCTTTCTCCCACTGAGTAATTTCACTCAGCATAATACCCTCAAGGACAATCCATGTTGTCACAAATGGCCGGATTTCATCATTTCTTATGGCTGAGTAGTATTCCATTGTGTATAAATACCACATCTTCTTTCAAAAATTTTAATGATAGAGTGAGGATCAAAAAATATGAAGATCACTGCTCTAATTCATAGAAAACAACAATAATAACAGGTCATCCGTCACTGACTACCTGTGTGTATTCGACTGTTTCTAGTATGTAACATCTAATCTGAAATCAATTCTTCCTTACAGGCATCATTATTCACATTTTACTGATAAGAATCAGAGAATTAATCTTGACCAAGGTCACCAGCTCATAAGTGTAGAGTCTGGATTCAAATCTAGATTATCTGGATCTCAATCTAAGATTTTCTATTAAAAAAAAGGGAGGGGCCAGATGGTGGCGCAGCGGTTAAGTTCACACGTTCCGATTCTTGGTGGCCCAGGGTGTGCTGGTTCAGATCCCAGGGCGGACATGGCGCCCCTTGGCAAGCCATGCTGTGGTAGGTGTCCCACATATAAAGTAGAAGAAGATGGGCAGGGATGTTAGCTCAGGGCTAGTCTTCCTCAGCAAAAAGAGGAGGATTGGCAGTTTTTAGCTCAGGGCTAATCTTCCTCAAAAAAAAAAAAAAAAAAGAAAAGGGAAAAACCAAAACAGAAGAAAACCAAAAACTGCTATGTCAATTAAAAGCTTTTTTCTTTTAATTCTCCTTTATAGATGAGATGAAAACATACCTTTGTAGATATGCTTAGCTATGCTGAAACATTGAGGTTGTTTGGAGTTAGTAAGATCAAAGATATCTGTAACGTTTTATTCACACCCATCCCCCTACCCCATCTATGTACTGAGTGTAAGAGAGATCGAGAACTACCCCATCCTGAAATCAACCACTGTTTTTAATGGTATATGGGTTTATAAAAGGTTGCAGTTCAGCTAGTAATTATGACACTCAGATATTCCTTATCAAACTAAGAAAACAGGGAAAAATAACTATCAGCTGATAAAAAAAGATAAAGTTACCTTCTCAATCATATTTGATCAGAGATTTAAATAGGGTCCCAGAGATCTTAGAGTCACAAACAACTGTGTGTGAAACTCTGTTGGAAACAAATTGGTTGTGGAAACAAATTCACGGTTGGCAATAGAGTAGTTTGACTAGTACAAAGTTTCTGATGTGATCCTACAGCACAAAGCACTTTCAAAAAATGATGCCTGGGTGAAAAGAAGATAAACTGAGATCTGGGGAGAGGCCCTTCCAAACAACTATAAGACTTCTAATTTAGCACCGGCGTGAAGATTATTTAGCAAGCAAAACAAGCGTTAGTTGAAAGTTATGATCTTTCCAGATCGAGGTCAATCTAATTTAGGGAGATGTTCAGTAACTATTTATCATGTTAGCACAATCTAATTACATCTGTTAGTGGGCCCGTACATTAGAAAAATTCCATCATCCATTTCAAACAGGCCCTGAACTCAGACTCTGGCATAATCTCTCTATCAGCATTACTGAAGTAAAGCTCGATTCTATGGATTTTGCTTCTCTAACCTGGCATTACCGTTACCTCGCTTTAGTACTATTTTCCTGAGGAATTCTGTTTTACTCTGCCCTTCTTTCCTTGCCTTCTTTTCTTATTCT